ATGGAGGAAGCACTTGACCAAGGTGCAGGTCCTGAGAGTATTTAGAAGTCTCACTGGTAACATCAAGCTGGAAAAACAAGAGGAAAACTGTGTTGGTTGGTTAGAGAAGAGGCTGGTTTACTTGTACATTGGCACAAAAGAGTCCCCCCTGTCCCCCCATCCCAAGGCGGCATCATACACCTGGAGAGCGGGGCTCTCACCACCTTCCATCCATGACAAGCTTCTACCTTGGCACCGGAGCAGGAGGTGACTTGAGGAGGATACCCGTTGATACCACAAAGCTCCTCTGGCATTTCGACACGCAGCTGGGAGCACCGCAGGCGCTGGCCCGGCTTTCCCGTGGGCACGGGTGGCAAGGGAGGGCTCCCCTCCGGAGTTGGGAATGGGACTGCTGTCGGGCTGGGAAGTTCAGCCATGGCTGATGGGAGGTTGTCGTACTGGATAGAACGCGTCGTGCTCTATTTCTGAGTTCCCTGAGATTTCTTTCTCTTGATGGAGATGGATTTTGCCTTCGGGGACTCGAGGGTATAAATTGTACTTGTCATCGGCCTGAACTGAACTGGGAGAAACTGCTGATGTGTTCGTTGCCTTCTGCAAGTGCTGGATTTTAATAGACCTCCCCACGGACTGCTCATGGGCGCAGGCAAGAGCAGCAGAGGGAGAAGGGGGAGGTGAGAGGTGTCGCTCAGAGGCGGCAATACCTTTTCGAGATGTTGCCCTGGAGTATTTTACCATCTGTAATTAATACCTTAATTCTTCTCCTGTTCAGGGGGAAAAATATAATCCTAGCTGTCTAAATCTGCACCCCATCCCTGGAAGTGTTCCAGGCCAGGTTGGATGAGGCTTTGAGCAACCTGGTGTAGTGGAGGGTGTCCCTGTCCATGGCAGGGGGGTTGGAACTGGATGATCTTGGAGGTCCCTTCCAATCCACGCCATTCTGTGATTAGTGTTTCCTCTTCCACGTGCCTCCATGGATCGTCAGGATGTTTCTTGAACGAAATAGCAAGGAAAATAATATTAAAAAGACGTAGCAGCAGCGGCCGCTGATCCTGTCGGTCATAGTGCTGCTTCCAGCAGCTCCTAAACTGGCAGGATTAGGTAGAGGCGAAGGTGATGGTCAAGGCTAGGGCGGGCTGGCGGGGTCGGCGCTCAAAGGTCGGGCAGGGGGGAGGTCTGCAGAGTTCACCCCCCGGGTTAATTACTCTCCAGTTCTTAAGCCTGATACTCTGCTGTCCGCCCCACGCTGAGCACACGGTGTTCGCTCCGGAGATTAAGATGAAAATATGTTCCCCATGGTAAAGAGAGCTCATAAACAACCCATAAACGGCCCATTAACCTACAAAACCGCGCTGAAGAACGCGTGGTGAAGCAAGCCATAGGAGACCTGTGACCCAGCAAATTCCTTAATTGGATGTTGAAGCTTTTCAGCTGTGCTAAATGCAGCTAATGGGAAATTAGCAAAAACAAAAGCAAGAAGAAAAGCAAAAAGAAAGATGGGGTGAGGTGTGGTGCGCGTCCAGATTTGGTGGAAGCGCTCTGGTCGTTGCTCTCACAATGCAAGTGAGCGAGCAAAACGCTGTGGGTGATCGTGGAATTATCGTGTTACGGGATCGAGTATGAGGATAACACTTCCATGTAATAAACCCTCTACAAAATGACTGAAAAGAGATAATTTTCACTGTTGGCTGCAACTGCTGCCTTCAGCAGCTCTAGAGGCTTTGCAGTCCCTTCGCTTGCGGGCTTTTCCATGCTCCAACCTCTTGCCGTGCTCCACGTCGCTTTTTGAAGCGATAGGATAGAATGTAAATTTATTTTATTACTTTTCTGGCTGTGATGTTTAAATTCTGTTCAGAATAGAGAAGTATATTGAGAGTCATGAGTTCAGATCGAGAGGGAAGATGATGGAACGTGCATGTTCCAGGTACTCTGCTAGCAGGTCTTGATGTTCATCTGGAGGATGATGGCAGAGTTCAGACACCATCCACCATGAGCTGTAGTCATCCAGTGTAAATTCCTCAGACCCTTTGCACTCCTGTGAAACCACCAAATGGCTGGAGACCGGCAACCGCTTGATGATTGGTGGTCCTCAGCTAAATTCAAACCCATTAGGGGAAGATGGGGCTCATGCAATAAGCTGTTTTGTGTTCTTTTGGCCGGTCACCATAGAATCATGGAATCATAGAATGGTTTGGGTTGGAGGGGACCTCCAAGATCATCTCGTTCCAACCCCTCTGCCATGGGCAGAATCACCTTCTACTACACCAGGGTACTCAAAGCCTCATCCAGCCTGGCCTTGAACACTTCCAGGAATGGGGCATTCATCTTTTAATGTTCCGTGTGGTGTGTTGTGTAGGGATCACGTGTCTCTAGGTGTTCACGGCCAAAGCATCACTGCAATAGAAATAAAAAAAAAAATTCTGTTGTGTTGGAAACAATCTGCTGGTGTAGAAGGGCCTTAGCTCAATGTTTGGCCTCTGTTTGAACGAGTGTGTTTTCCTACGTGAGATCCCTGCCCTGAAGCACAGGTGCCACCTCGAGCCCTGCTTCTCGATGCGTGGGTGCATAGGTTTCAGCACCAGCTTCTGGCACTAGTGGTCAACTGGGGCTACCTGTAGAGAGATGAGCTCCAGCGTTATGCCTGTTGGTGTCTTTAGAATAGGTTAATCTCAATTATTTATGCTAATGTTTGCTTTAAACATGTTTTGGATGTAGATTTTTAGTCCAAATTGCGTTTATAATGGCAAGGATAATTTTTGTGCCTAAGGCCACGTGTTTGGGATGTATTTTGGAACGGTTCTGCAAAGTGCGTCTGTTACACGCGAGTCAGATAATCAAGTACAACACTGGAACAGGTTGCCCAGAGAGGTGGTGGATGCTCCATCCCTGGAGACGTTCAAGGCCAGGTTGGACGAGGCCCTGAGCAACCCGATCTAGTTGGAGATATCCCTGTTCCTTGCAGGGGGGTTGGACTAGATGACCTTTGAAGGTCCCTTCCAGCCCTAACCATTCTATGATTCTATGAAGTGCTCATCATAAACCTCACAGATTGGGAGAAACACATCTGAGAAAAAAGCTAAATTCTGTAGGGACAAGCTGTTGTCTGAAAGTGCTAATTGCCAAGAAGGGTCAAGGTGTATTTTTCTCTTAACTAAATGTCTGTAAATTCAGCTTAGCGATATTTTTCTCTCGCAGGGAGGTGAAGATGGTGGCGGGTAGTGGATGGGGATTTCGGGGTGCAGATATAGACCACCATTAAAATGACTTTCCAGCCCATTTTGAAGGACACGTAGTTCTCCGAAGACCTCTTCAAAGCTTGTCTTCTCAGGTGCTGGGTTGGCATGGTAAAGAAGGGACACGTGGCTCCTCTGTAAGCACTTAAAAGCAGAAGAGTGGCAGGTGCTAGGGTGCCCAGCAACCTCCATTCTCCATACTGGCCTGGCCCGAGTGCTGCGGGGCTTTCCAGCTTTGGCCGGTGGTGTCCCTCCGGCCTGAGCTGCGGAGCCGGTGCAGGGCGGTGGACTTGGACACCCAGGGCGTCCCAAGGGCATTTATGACTGCAGATGTAGTTACAGTAGAAATCTGGTTTATATTATCAAAGTACCATCACCCAAACTGATGAAGAAATTAATTTGCATCAACCTTTCCTGAGTGGTTTAAGAAGAAAGTGAAGAAAGTTTCTTTAAATAAAAAAAAAAAAAGAGGGGAGGAAAGGGCATGTTTCTTACTGGTTCCTTTTTTCCCATTACAAATTGAGACTTTGTGTACCCTGGAGAAATCAATGGTGATTGGACACCTGGTGTAATTAATTATTTTGCAACAGGCAGCTGATCTTTTGAAAAGAAAGGAGTTTTTAGCAGAACTGTTCAAAGTTCATAGTCTGCTCTTCAGCTGTAACGCTCACAAACATTGAGCAGAAAGGATGTCTGTTGGAAAATTTCACATGATCCCTCCTTCGTTTTGAGGCAACGCAATCAGAAAAAACCTGTGACCCCAAGAAGTCCTCCGGCGAGGTGACCCTTGCAGCACAAGCTGCGGGTGCCAACGGGAGATGGTCTTGGGATGCAGAGAGTGATGGTCTTGGGTTGTAGTTTTGGATCACGCCCATTTCTTAACAACAAGGGGTTGCTGCTAATTTTTCTTGAGCTAACAATGCACACAAGCTTTGCTTGCGCCATCAAAAAATTTTTAGGAAAAAATTTTTTACCATGAGAGTTGTAGAACACTGGAACAGGTTGCCCAGAGAGGTGGTGGATGCTCCATCCCTGGAGACGTTCAAGGCCAGGTTGGATGAGGCCCTGAGCAACCTGATCTAGTTGGAGATATCCCTGTTCCTTGCAGGGGGGTTGGACTAGATGACCTTTGAAGGTCCCTTCCAGCCCTAACCATTCTATGATTCTATGA